CCTGTGAACCCCTCTATTGCTGCCATGTTGCAGTCAGGTGAGAAGTTCATCTAGCTCTGTATTTTGTCTCTAAATTATGGCCCTGACCACATCCTCAGAGTAGGAATGTAATAAAAATGTCAGCCTGATTTACCCTCCTATCTTCCGGTTGCCACTGGTCCAGCTAATCTCCATTATTTCTACTTCAGGCCTTGCAATGACTCTTAACAAGTTCCACAACCAATTCTGCACTTTGTGAAAGTGCACTTCATTTCTTGTTTACTATTTTGCATCTTTCTCTGGGAAAAGAAGAAGAACAACTACAGCTAATGCAAAATGAGCAGCCTTGGCACCAGATAGTCCTGAATACTCAGATTCCAGGTTTGAGGGTCTGATAAAAATCTCAGCGAAACTAATGGGAATCTTTCCAGAGTAGTTTTACCTAAAGTCTAAAAGCACAGACATACTGCATGCCTAGAATCCCGTAGGCGCATAATCCGATTCAGACCTTTACTAAAGAATGATTAGCAAAAAGGCCTACAAAATCTACTTATTTCACAATACTAAACTGCTTCCAGTGCATTCCCAGATGTCAAATTCCCTCTACATTCCCAATGCAGGCGCCAAACTCTTCAGCTTCTCTCTTTGACAATTTTACCCTGTGCACAGAGGGATGCGTGATTACAAAAAATCTGTGGTGGTTTAACTGAGTATGAAAGTAGGACAAAGATAAAATAACATGAAGTATTAACCATTAATTCAGGGAAAATCTAGCACTGTGATAAATGGTGCCTAATGCTGGATGTGTTTAAGTCATTGCTGAACTGTAATGCCTGGGGCATGGAGAGGCAAAATTGGGAGGGCTGAAGAAAGATCAGCACCACGAGGCCATTTAACTCAATTAATATACTCCCATTATCACAGTTAGTAGAAATAAACAGCAGTTCTTTCTAAACATCTCATGCTGCCTAGTCCAATACTTACTATACCGCTCAAAACCTTAGGCCTTGGAAGCATAGGATTACATCAACTTCTCAGTTGTCATTTTCTTCTCACCCTAAAGCAGGCTTTATAAATGGAAACTTGAATCAAGCTCACTCAAAACCCTGACAAGCCAGGAGGCAAACAAACCCACTGAGCTTTTTTATGCCATGACTTTCAGAAAAATCTCTTCAGTGTTTTTGCTTTCTGGGTTTAATTACAGAAGTCAGAAATGCTGGAACAGAGGCTGCATCAATGACTGAACTTATGAGTCAAATTAACAAGCAGTAAATTATTCACAACAGATGTAGCTCTACATAAACAGAGACATACGGGGGGAATAAAATACCTGCAAGGAGACGACCAGAATGAGCTCTTTGCAAGATTGAGGAAGGTAGAAGGCAAGCACTGCAGCGATGTTTCTGGGTCCTGTGTTCCCAGTGCTAACTACAAGTAGGAAACAAGGCGCTTCTCTGGTGGAGCAGGTTTACTGAGAAGCTCTACACGGCTGCTCTAGCTCTTAGAGGGATGGCCATTAAACTGCTGCTATTCTACAGCCTCCCCAGGCCTGAGTCAAACTACACTCAGATATGGGAGAGAATCAGGCTCATGGGAACTGCACCCTTTAACTTTAAATTCCAGCTCCTCTAAACCTACTTGTCATCCTTCTCTGAATCCTCTTCCTTTCATGGGCTAGTTATTAAGTGTTCCTAACGCATCTGCCAGATCTGTTAAAAAAAAAAAACCTCAGAGAAAGAAACCTGGTAGAAACCACCTAGTTTTTAATTTACACTTTAATGTATGTTACTATCAGCTCAGGAATAGGCAGGACTATATGTGAATTCGCATGTATTGACATGACCACCACAACATAGGAAAAGGGAAACATAATTCAGATGCAGTGATTTTACTTGAGTGATTTTGTTATTACAATCCTGACCACTGTAGTTGTAAGGGATGCGTAGTACCACAGGTTTGCAAGCACACTCCACCCTGTGCTTTCTAATCCTAAAGACTGATGTAGAAAGAGATTTGTAAATACGGTGGGAGAGACACAAGAAAGTGCATGCTCTTGTCCCCACCAACTGCGCATAGATGAATAGCATCTTATTCTTATCCATGACTTTACTTGAAAACCTGCATGGGAAAAACACCCAGAAAGATGCATACTACAAAAGGAGGATGTTCTGGCACAAAGTTAAGGGGCTATGGATGGCTCTCAGTGGGATACCAGCACTAATCCCAGTCTCGTTTCGCTGATGAAAGAGCAAATTAATTGGCACACGCACCTCACTGAGGATGTTTATGGCATCCTTTGCAGACATGCACAGCCAAAGAGGTCACATTTTGAACCTGTAAAGTACTCACACATTTTACATTTTAAATAAACCTGTAGATTTATTGTACAGTAGTACAGCATGTGCCTTTTTAACCAAAAGCTCAGCATCGCACAACACTTCAATCTTCCATTTAAACATACACAGTCCTACAACACAGCTCAGTTCAGCTAGGAAAGCTACATAATGAATTAATTTATTGAGAGTCCTGGCTATGCTGTTCTTCAGGATGTTTACCTGTAGCAAGAACAGTGGCAGTGGTTCTGGTGGTGTAACATTTAATCACTTTAACCTGTTCTCAGCACAGTAATAGCACAAGCAGTCATCTAGAGCAAAACAAAGAGATCATTTAAGGGACACCATATTTAATAGCAAATGCGTGAAACAGCAGAACAGAGGATCTCACACATGTAATACAAGTAAGGATAAGAAATCTGTTATGAGATCACTTTGATGTAATGTCCATACCAACTATGCCACACAATCCACCACACAGGAAGACCAGATGGGTGACAGGCATCGCACCATGTAGTAATATTGTTTGGATTGACATTGTTGGCTTTGGAAGGGGCAGAGCAGGGTGTTCTGCACTAATATACACTTGCCTTACTACATTAGCTTACAGGTCAGAAACAGTCCTGTAGCCATTTGCCCACATGCCAGCAGTCTAATTTTAATTCATTTTTATACTCTTTGCTTCGATTTTACCTGGTTCAGTTGAAAACCATTACTTCCAGACGCGGAGTCTGTTTTGTGCTACGTGTCTTATCCTTTTAAATTGTCATAAACACCTGAGCTGGTGTAACTGGGCATCCTTTACGTGTGCTCTTCTGCACAGCTAGCCACAAGTTGTTATCAAGACACATTCAGATGCCATTCTTCATTTGCCATAGGGGTTCCTTGTCACAATGGAGATTCAAAGTTCATCATCGCTTAATGACTTACAGCAAGTGAAGTTCCCCTGAAGTTTGGAATTAAATCTCTGCTACCCAAATGAGCTACAGGTTACATAGCAAATTCTTGATCAGAGGAAGTTTATGCCTTTTTATTGCTGTTCAATTTATCAATAGGTGTCAAACCTCAAGCCTCTTACTTTAAAAGATTGTGCTATTTTAATTAAAGAATTTCAAATTCTCAAAAAAACAGTATTTTCAGTAGATTTTTAAATACCCCAAGGAGGTAAATTTGGATCCTACTCCGAAGACGTGATTTTTCACTTACAGTGGGAGCATGACAGTGCATTGTTGGTTGGTTCTGAACGGCACTGAACTCCTACAGCATCTACCAAAATACTATGATAATCAAAACACAGACAGTGATACCAAAGAAACAGGGGAAGGAAATCTGTATCGAACATCCGATCTTGAATTAAAACAGACGAGCAATAGCATGTAAGCTTTCAAACAGATGAGATGCTTCGCTGCTCTCAAGTAGCATACCAGCAGTGGTTTCAGAAGAATTATACCAAACTTGCACCCACTATGGTTCCTACGTATTCTGTGACTCTGCAAATTTCACTCTTCAACAAAATACTAAAGCAAGTTAATTCAAGTATAATAAAAAAAAAAAAAATGGGATGCAGAAGGATCTTTTTAAATCAAAGTTGCTTTTTGTATAATTTTCAAATATTTGGGGAAAATTGCACCACACTGAAAAAATCTTCACTTATCTGTGTCGCTTCTAGCTTTAGATAAGACTAACCAGCAGAAGAAACAAAATTGAAAACAAAACCAGTCTCGGCTTGCCAGACAAAATGCATGTCCTCAAGTAGACTTCCAGTTCGTTATCTAAACTGTAATGTTTTGGTAGCTTTTGGTGAACATATGAACTTTTGGCTGATTACCTAGACACCACCGACACATGTAGAGACTGTTGAAAAGGTAGTTATCTAATTAAAACAGACATCACCTGAAACGATTTTTTTTCTTGCTGTAAACCAAACACAAGCAGCATGTTAACAAGACACCCAAGCTCTTTTTCTTCACCCATTCACAATTTTTAACTTGGTTAAAAAGCAAAAAGAAATAATTAAAACCTGATCTTGAAATATCATTAACAGCTTAAGGAATAAAGCTCTGCTATTTCCTGAATTCATTCCATGCCATCTTTAATAAAAGAGCTTACACAGATTCCTTGTGCTTACTAAAATGATGTCAGCTTATGTTTCTTACATATTTAAGTAGCCCCAACACCAGAGACATACAAAATGTTATACTGAATTTTAATCCTTGTAAAACAATATTACACCACACACTGTTATTATAAATCTTTTCAAGAACATCCATTATAGAACTCAGTAAAGAGCACTGTCTATTACTATGCGCTGTCAAATATTTCTGACAGTATTGGGAATTGACTACAGCATATTCCTTCTTTAAAATTAAGAGTTAACCTACATATTCTGAACTTGCAAATAATACACGACAGATTGTACTTCCATATAGGATGCAGAGACATTCACTCATTTTTCTTCCGATTTGTATATGAGTGTATTTTCTATAACAATATGAAAGAAAATTAATAACTTATTTATCTAGCTAGGAGGCTAGTAGTTATTTATAATCATATTAATCAAAAGATGACTGAAAAATTCAAAGTTAATTATTGTGAAGTGCACAAAATCTAGAATATAGGGACTTTCCACAGTACATTATACTAAGTCAACATATAATAGATTAAAAGCTGTAAAGCCAAAATCTTCATTTAAAAATTTAGTGTTTCTGACATCATCTTCCACCATTCCATCAACTCTTCTTTCTCCTCTTCTTTTCTTTCAGACAATGATTCCAGTTCAAAATCAACCTGAGTAAGAGAAACAACAAAAACCATCAGCAAGACTTGTAACGAGAGAGAAATGTAGGCATTAGAGAGGCATTTATTGAAAGAAGTTGTTTAACACAGACATGGGGCTTAGGGAGGTACCTTCCATTTTAGACTAGGTTTATTTCAAAGTCTCTTAGGGCTGATTTTAATACGTGCAATACTAGCGTATCAGTACAATAAACTTATCTGAAAAATGCATGCATGTGAGCAAAATTTCCAAAAGAAACCAGACATCTGTCCAGTCCTTGACTTCAAAAAATATGGGCCAATGAAATTAAAATTGAATAAATAGCCAGCCACATAAATCTTCTAGCATATAATAAAAAGCATCATCACTGTATTGCTGTCTAACACCTAGCAATGCAGACTCCCAGCATATCAAAGCACGTATTCAATTTTAGGTCATTGAGAAGATCCAGGGAGCTTTTCTGATACATGGTCCATTAGTGTAGATATGATGTGCTAGTATAGTATAACCTAGCATATGATACACACTAGAGAAATAAACATTTATTTTAATTGTTAAGAGTGAAATCCACACCTGTACAGAGGATGAATTAAAAACACTTCTGAACTTTTAGATGCAGCCTAGGTCTTATTCACTATACATGTTGGGTACCTGTACAAAGCAGAGCTCCCTCACCATCTTTCTGCACAGAGCTGAACACTGGTTTTAACCTATGCAGATAGTCACTTGACAATTTAGGTAAAAATATCGAGTCTCAATGAAAATGTCAAGATCTCTTACTTTCTGTGTCGCACTATTTAACAATATTCTGTAACTTCTATCTGATTGACTATTCTCACATCAACTAATAAAAAAAGCATAAGTATCTCAATATTACTCCTCTCAGTGTCTTTTCATTTTGAATAAGGGCAACAGGAGATTAAATGAGTTTACAGTGAGATTACTCTCAGTTGCTTGTGCAGCAAGTACTAGAAGATTAGATTTCCAGTCTGTCTTCTAAATTAGCATATTTTGAAATATTATGAAAAATCACCTCCTGCTTACATGTATACCATGAAGAAAAAAATGTGAGAGACTTTTTTTTTATATGTAATAGATGGTAAACCAACATACATGTGAGCACTTACCCCAACTGCAGGGCTAAAGGGCACAGCCACTTTTTTAGTTATTGCTAGATAGCCTGGTGCTGAGGCTGTAAGTTTGTAATTTCCAGGCACAAGCAATCTCCAGTAATCACCATCCTTGGCTGTAGAGAAGAAGAAAAAATATCCAAACAAATGTGTATGAAACAAATTACACAGCTAAGGAGAAGGGAATGTATAGATTGTCAGCATCTTTTGTATTCCTGTCAGCCCTTTCCTTTTGTCTGTTTGAAAGGATTCTTCTGTAAGGGCGGTATAAATATATTATTACAGATTTTCTTCTTTTCATATAACCAAAACACAGATTTAAACTCTGAAGTTATGAAAGATTTTGCCTGCTGAGGCTGAACGGTCTCCAACACACTGAAGAAAAGGACAACCTGGGATGTTATTCTACTTTAGAAGCACCCCCTGGCCCATGTGTAGCTCCTGTTACATGTCTGAGTTTCAGTTTGCAATGCAATGTGGATTTTTAATGTCCGTCAGTTTTCTGAAAATCCAAATTTAAATAAATTTTATTGTCATCAAATAGAAATAAATAGGACCACCTTTCTCAGTTTATCTTTTCACAGAAGCTATAATTGATAATTTCCTGGAATATTCCAATGTATCACCCCTAACACATCATTATCTACATGTGTCAGTAGCCAGGCAATGTCTAGGGCTTTTTTCTTTGGTTTAGCTAAACAAAGAAATGAAAGTTTGAGCCACTCGGGTCAAAGAAAGGCTCCTACTGCACTGAGTGTTACTTCAGGCCATCTTCTTCAATCACAGAATAGAAATGCATCATCCCCTTCTCTAGGAAGGACTCTCTCCTATTTTCACAGAGAATCATATCCTCCCTGCACCAGAAGTGGGCAATCATCTAATTTGTCAGAGGCTGATACTCTGAAGTTCTCTATCACCACAAAGAATTTGAGAAAACATCGCAAGGTTATCCTAAAGGTCAGCCACCAGTGCCATTTACAGCACTCGGCCATGCTCTTACTGCCAGTTCCTTAAATGCTTTTTCAGCACATCTGCAGCCACACAGAGGGAAATGTTACTCAAATGTCTGCAACTCACATGGTCAAAAAGTATCAGTAGTCAGTCCAGTTGTTCCCATACTTTTCATAAAACAGAAAGGAAAAAAATTACTGCTGCAGAGCTACGATAATGATCTATTCTAATTCCTGGCACTGGAACAAAGCTGAATTTTAACTCACAAACAAAGGAACAAGGAAAATAAAGTCAAAGAGTATTTATCCTTCTTTTTGAATGCACTAAAATTCAAGTACTTGATTTCCTCGCTGCTTTGACAAAACATGACTTCCAGCTCTATACATACACAATGATGTGAGAGGATTCATGATTAGATGTTTTTTTGTATCGTAGAAGTGTGAGCTGCAGTATCACATGCATCACTCCCATTCCTCAAAACATCCCTTTGCACAGCAAAGCCTCCAGCCTCCACACTTTTTGCCTTTTGATATATAGTGAAAGAAGATGGCTTATGTTATCACAGATTGTTCGCCTGCTTGGTAGAAATGCTGCTCTCTTTGCAAGTGCTGTGAGAACAAACACAAATTGAAGTCAACTGAAGGGTCTACCAGTCCTGTTTCGTAGTATTCTGCATCTCTGTAACACTATAGTGAGACATAACATTGAGAAAATGACCATAATGTTAGCACATATATAAAGCATTGGCATTTTATTATTGTTTCTCTAATTAGTTTCCTGTACAAACAAACAAAAAAGTGCCACTCAGAATAAGAAAGCATAGGTCTACAGGGAAGACTTCAAGCCAGCGCTGTGCAAGCTACCTTTGAATTCATTCCTAGAATAAAGTGCACCACCACTGAAGAGGTGGCACACAATTTTCTATGAAGACCAACACGACACTTTCCTCTTTTAGAACCACTCTTCTAAAAAAAAGTCACATAATTGTAAAAAGCAGAGAGAATTTATCTTTGCAGAAGGAAGTTATGCAATCTGAAAACCTGTTAAGAATTTACATATGATGCAATCATAGCTTTGGTAACTAACGTAACAGTTTTGGGCTACAATTTAGTCTTCAAACTCAAAATGGCACTGCCAACAGGACTTTAAATCCTGGCAGAGGCGTGAAACACTACTTGCACCACAAATCAGAAGACAAACTAAGCATGAATAACCAAGAGCTGCTGGAACCAATTAACGCCGGAGATCCATGAGTTCCCAACTACCAGTCTCCAGCTACTTTGAGAGCAAAATACAAGGGAAAGATTCATGAAATCCAGCAGTCAACAAGCTTCCTGAGGCACAACATGTTTTTCCTGCCTTCAAAATTTTGTTCCCTTAAAGCTTCAGCTAATAAGATCTGAAATGGCTCCAGGTTGCCAAGCAGAGGGAGCAGCACTTCTTGTTTTCCTGAGGGACCACACTCACCTGATGTAATGTCATGGCTTATCCCCTCCACAGAAATTGTAGCATTTGCTATTGGATTGCCCTGAAGATCTTTAACAAACCCCTTCACTCCACGATGAATCTAAAATACATAAAGTCAGCAACACATGGGAAATCACTGGAAAATTCTTATGAAAAGATAGCATTTTCATCAGTGAAATATCTAACAATGCATGTTATGGATCCCACAGTCTACATGCTGACAACTGTCAAGGATAATTGCTAAAGACCATAATGGAACAAAAAATGAAGAGGAAAAATAATTCAGCTGGTAGTTACACCAATTTATCTGTGCAATGCAAGCATTTCTCAGAAATACGCAGCAAATCATAATATGTGTGAACACTGACTTGAAAGTCTTTGTCACTGGGGATTAATGAATGTGCCGAAAAGCTTTGAAATACACCCTAAAAAAAACCAACTTCTTTTTTTTAAAAGTTTCATCAGCTGTAAGAATTTAGGGCTAATAATGGACACAACTGCTTACAAGGGAAACATTAACAAGGTTAAATGCAGGCACTTGGACTTTGATGAGCAATCCCTGTGTGAGATGCTTGAGCTCTCTATTGTGCACTCAAAACATCCTGGGACCACACAGAGTCACAACATTCCCCATGTGGCCTCAGAGAGAAAGGTGATGGTGGGTCATGTCCTAGTTCCTTCTTGCCTCTTAGGCAACATACTGCAGGCAACAGCACCAGTAGTACCTAATCTGTCTGTTCCCGGCATATATGAAATTAAAGCACTGATTTGACCGCAAGCATGGTCTGAAAGCAGACTGAGCTCCTCAGAGGCAAGAGACTGAGGACCAACTACTTTCCCACAGCCTGAGACAGGGAGCTCTCAGCACCAGGGAGAATGGGACGTTTTGAACCCATGCAGAGATGCATCTCACTGGGAGCCTGGAAATTAAACAGGGAAGTGCTGTGGAGTCCAGGCTTCTCTCCGATTCTGTGATATTTGAAAAGACTTGTGGATCACAAATTTTATTTTGAGATCTTGATGTTCCCCTTTACAAACCTATATGGTATATTTAGCTGCTGTAATTTAGTTCACTAGATTCCTCTAGTTTACACTGTGGGAGAAACCTGACACAGATCATCTTAGAAAAGCAGAAAGTACATATTTGCACTGTCCTCAGCAATCACAGGGGAGCTGGAACATAGAGCTGGACCTCTTATCCTGTAAGAGGATAAAAACCAATGCCAGATAGACCATCTGAACTTCAAGCATAAAGCCAGCAGCTCCACATGAGCAGAGGAAGTTGGCAAAATAATCTCTTACACATTAGTAATTTGAAAATGCAGTGACACCATAGATTTCTACGAGTCAGAGGAAAATTAACCCAATGCACAGAGGAGTTGAACAATTTTGAACAATTTTACCCATCATAAATGAGTAAAAACCTGAAGAGCAGATAGAGCTTTTTCCCTAGCCCGCGTACAACTTCCTAACAGAACTCTGTAACAAACATTTCAAATATTCAAATATTTCAGATTTCTGGATAACTAAAGTGTTTCTCCACAAATATTGATTCTTAAAGAAATGAATGTATTACTTGGCCAGCACTGCTAACAAAGTATGTTTCTGATTTTGCAGTCCCGGGTGTGCAGCTGTTAATGATCACAAATATATCTGATATCATTAACTACAATATCCAGGTTTCAGAAAGTCAAAATTCCTACGCTGCTTGGAACCATCATTTCAGTGCAGTGTGTTCCATTGGCATAAAAAGATTAAAAAGCCCCACAACAATAACAAACCCCAAATAAACTTGAAACACACACACATACAGATCTATTTCAGGAGTCTTAGCTTCTAACAACCCATTAGCACAAGATTATCTAAACCCATGACTATGCTTCACACTTACACTTAACCAGATTTTGCATAATTTTTAATGGAATCATCACATTGACAGCTCTACATTTAGTATCAGCAGCTCATGCAATCAGAGAGTAGCGGAGTATCTATAGAACCAGGATTAGAAATGTCCCTTGACGTTATACTGAACTGCCAGGAAGTTCCAGTCTAACCCAGCCATCTAGGCTCCCTGTACATGGGAGCAGGACTGTTGATCTGCAGAGGGACCTGGACAGGCTGGATCGATGGGCTGAGGCCAAAGGGATGAGGTTCACCAAGGCCAAGTGCCAGGTCCTGCAGTTGGGTCACAACAACCCCATGCAATGCTACAGGGTTGGGGAAGGGTGGCTGGAAAGCTGCCCAGCGGAAAAGGACCTGGGGGAGTTGGTCAACAGCCGGCTTAATATGAGCCAGCAGCATGCCCAGGTGGCCAAAAGGACAACAGTATCCTAGCTTGTATCAGGAATAGTGTGGCCAGCAGGAGTAGGGAAGTAATCATGCCCCTGTTACTTGGCGCTGGTGAGGCTGCACCTTGAATACTGTGTTCAGTTTTGGGCCCCTCACTACAGGAAAGACATTGAGTTGCTGGAACATGTCCAGAGAAGGGCAACAAAACTGGTGAGGGGTCTGGAGCACAAGTCTGATAAGGAGCGGCTGAGGGAACTGGGGTTTTTTAGCCTGGAGAAGAGGAGGCTGAGGGGAGACCTTATCACCCTCTACAGCTGCCTGAAAGGAGGCTGTAGCGAGGTGGGTGTTGGTCTCTTCTCCCAGTTAACAGGCAATAGACCAGGAGGAAATGGCCTCAAGTTGCACCAGGGGAGGTTTAGATTGGACATCAGGAAAAATTTCTTCACAGAAAGGGTTGTCAAGCATTGGAATGGGCTGCCCAGGGAAGTGGTCGAGTCCCCATTCCTGGAGGTATTTAAAAGACGGGTAGGAGAAGTCCTTAGGGACATGGTTTAGTGGTGGAATGGCAGGGTTAGGTTAACGGTTGGGCTTGATGATCTTAAAGGTCTTTTCCAACCTTAACAGATCTATGATTCTACACCCAGAGTGATTCATGCCATGCCTGTAGGCACAGTTTGCTATCTGTAGAGGGCAATCCATCTTTCTGAGTATACACAGCAGTGGTAGGCGAATGAATGATACACTCTGATGATACACTTTTCACTGAGAAAGCCAACACAAATAATTTAAATTAAATGTCTGTAACAGCTTAAGTAAGGTGAGATGAATTCCATACTATAACAGCTTCTTTCTTTTCCCCCTCTTCCACATATTTAGAAAGATCACACAGGTTTTACCACCTTGGAGACTTACAAGAATTATGGAGCACCAAATGGATTAATATGAAATTTTGAATTAGATGTTCAAACAGCATCAAGTTTTTGAGTTTTATGTACAATAACTGGAGTTTTGCCATCCTCTTTTTGGTTACCTGCTCGATGTAATTGATAAGGGAGTTCTTGTTGTCCTCCCAGTAGCCCTTCAGAGTTTCTTCAGGTGGGAATTTTTCACAGCTGAGTTCCACTGTGATTTCAAAGCAGTTGCTGCTGAGGTAATTTTTTCCTGCAATGCCAGAAAGGGGAATTAGTGATGCTTGTTGCATTGTTATGAAGTAAATAGAGTAAAGGGGGGCATGTGAGATGCTGGGGCTGTTAAGAAAAGAATAGCTCTAAATACAGTTGGTGCAGTTCTATTTAATCGGCTTAGTTCTGAAATCAGAGGCACTAAATTGGAGAAACCAACAAGACAATTAATTCCCAAAATCTTTTTCTTCCCAAAGAAAGTTTAGAAGAAGCCTAACACGTGGCCTGTATACTTCTACTTGATGTTGCACCTGGCCTATATACTCCTACCTGACATGTTTTTGGATAGCTGAGATATAAATTAACTGGTTTTCCTCTTCAGGAACAGAAAATTATTTCCAATTATGGCTAAAATATTTCCAGCTGAAAGTATAAGGCAATAACTTTGCAAACCAAAAAGAATGACCATGAATTATAAAGCAAATAAAACGTGACAAAGTGTCTTTGAAAAATAGGTTTATAAAGACTGGTCAGAAACGTGGCATCTTTTTTCTGAAAATACAGGGTTTCAGTTTAGTAACGTTTTACAAGAAAAGCATCTGTTTGGCAAAAAATATTCTCTGTCAAGCTTCTCAGCATAGGTTCCAAATATCTATGATTTTCCACTAAAAAAAGTACAAAAGCAAACTTCCTATAAACGTCATTTACACAGAAATTTTTCCATGAATAGAATCATAGAATCATAGAATGTTTTGGGTTGGAAGGGACCCCTAGAGGTCATCTAGTCCAACCCCCCTGCAGGAGCAGGGACACCGCTAACTAGATCAGGCTGCTCAGAGCCCCGTCCAACCTGGCCTTGAATGTTTCCAGGGATGGGGCCTCCACTGCCTCTCTGGGCAACCTGTTCCAGTGTTTCACCACCCTCCTTGTAAATAATTTCTTCCTTATATCTAGTCTAAACCTACCCTGGTTTAGTTTAAAACCATTACCCCTTGTCTTGTCACTGCTGGCCCTACTAAAAAGATTTTCCCCGTCTTTCCTATAGGCCCCCTTTAGGTACTGAAAGGCTGCAATCAGGTCTCCCCGCAGCCTTCTCTTCTCCAGGCTGAACAAGCCCAACTCTCTCAGCCTGTCCTCATAGGAGAAATAGGGGTATTTCCCACCCACTCAATGCCTCTGCAAAATCAATAATTGATACATTAAGAGAAACTTCATTATTAATGCAACTTAAATCATAGATATTTAAATATATATACACTAGCATTATCACTAGGAATAAAAACTTGATGGGAAAGGTGTACTCTTTTACACTTTTGAGCCCCTCCTCTTACTACATGGAAATACTGGCTACTTTCTCAAGTCAGTCAACCAATAACCAAAGTGTTTTCCAGTTTTGTAACTGGATCAACCAGCTGGAGAGGTACTATGGCTGTCCCCAGGAGGCTTATAAATATATTCTTTACAGAAGCTGACGTAGAATTAGTGCTTGCCATCCCAGTCTATCTAGCTATCTGAGTCAGAGGATTCTCAAATGGAGGACTGAAAAGAAAAAGTCTACCAAGCATTTTGAGCATCCCCATGGGATGCTCACTGAGGGATTTAAAAATGCTTCAAACACAGCTAATTCATTCAGCCCTATGTTCCCCCATGCAAACTACATATGAGACCTAATGTAGCCTCTTTACAGAAGCATCAGTGTTGTGCACCAGTCCAGAAATGTCCAGAGAGCTAGTGTCATATCCAAAAGAGAACACTGAGGGCAGCGAACAGATTGAGTCAGGTGGGATTTTGCCAACACATTAGGGTGAACCTATTTTCCGCCAACCAGGCAGAAATGGGACTCCTAACTACTGATAGGAAAAGGGACTTTTCAGATTCCTAAAACAACATTTTTATTTCTAAGCCTTTTTTAGATGGCTGAAAAATGAGGACACAGAAGGCAAAAGTGCTCCTGGGAGGGACGGCTCTGATGTCCCACCAGGCAGAATGTACGATGGTCATTCAGGAGTATACAGCGAGAGCGCAGTGAGTCGTAAAATCCTGGCAGCAGAGCTGACTGCCAGGCATCTGTTACAGACACTAGATAATGATGTTTTTCTAGATTTTCACCTTTCTTCTACAAGAAAGAAAGAATTCATGAAGAGGAGAACTGGGAGCGAAAGAGCATGATGTAATTTTACTGTGGTGCTAACAACTCTTGACCATTACTGCTCCAATTCCCTGGAAGTTTCTCCCTCCCCTCCACTTCCCAAAGCTAGGTGATACTCAGGGATGCCCTAGTTTCTCAAGGACAGAATAAAGAAGCAATATATTTTCCAGTTTTGTGCACAATGTCCATATCCTACAGTTTGTTTCCCAGCTCCTGGCCTGGGCCACAGTTTATATGTGTTGCTCCTGGAAAAAATCAGCTTGCATCACTGAGCTGCGGTTGATGATATGAATTTCTGGGATGGAGAATGGGGTGAAGATAGCCTAGGTCAAAACTGTGGCCTACTACATCTGTAATCTGGAGAGCATAGGGCTGGCTGCATACAATTTGCACTCTTTACCTGCCTGTTCAACATGACAATTAGGTGCAATATCCAAGAAATCAATATATTTCGAAAGATTTATTCAACATTGTGGCAACTTTGCTGCCACTGGTCAAGCTCTCTAACTGCTCCATTCCTTCTTGTAATGCACATGGCATACATCACGTGCATGCACACCAACACGCTCCCAATGCCTCTCGTTTTAACACAGTATAGCACAAAACTAACTTTGCTATACTTTAACAGGGACTACTCTCTGAAGATCAGAAAAACTTAGCAGACCTCAGATAAAACTGAGATTTATGCTCTTCACTGCTGACCACAAGTAGGACTTTTCTTTGAAACTGAGCAACACAAACATCCCTCTGTTGCACTGCTCTACTGTCCTGAAGGCCTGCAGTGTGTCTATGCTAGTACTCACATAAATAAACTTAGAATATGGGACAAAATTAATTTCTTCGGCTTTTAAAAAAAGGAACTCCAACCTTCACAAAGCAAGTGGAGTGCAGGGTGTGCCCCTGGCATCCAGGCATCAGAATTACTTAGACTTTGAATTACAAGCTACAGCACTAAGCTAGTTCAGCTCCTACACATACAAAGATGGTAAGTTTTAGCAGGACAGGATGAACTTGAGCTTTGTGCGTAACAGGAAGAACATATGCCTCCTACACGTGTCACATAAAATCCTAAAAAAAAATACCTACCGTTGTTTTCAATACTTGTAACATGAAAGGTAATTCAACTTAGGAACTAATTAATTGAGTACCAAGAGTGATTTGAGAGTATCTGAAAACAAAAAGACACTTAAATAATAGCCTAATAGTACAGCAATGTAAGCTGCTTTGAAAAGCTATTTTTGTAATGACACGAATCTGATTAGACTCAGGTGACAGAACAAGCAGCATGGACACATGGCTAGCTAGTAATTCATTACTGTTTGTTCTTCTCATTTGTATTTCCAAATAGATATTCCACACAAAAGGTACATTAAAAAGCCATTAGTGATGTTGAAAAGTTATGCACTCAACAGCCAAGGAAATGCCAAAATTAAAGCTGTCTGTGCAAATTTAATTTGGCTTTCTTGTACATAAGTGAAATCATTAATTATATGCTGATAGGGAGATGACCAGTGTTAAAAACAGCATGGATTTTATGTACATGCTTGTTTTTTCCCAGGATCTGGTGGCTAAAAGGGCCTTTCCTGAACACAGAAGAATGACCCCTTTGCCTTTGCTTGTTGCTCTCTGAAAAACCTACAGGGATCAACTAATTACAGATGACAACTAATACAAAACAAGTGTAAGAGGCACCATGGTCTCAGACTTAGCACAAAGATGCTGTTGGGGAGCTATTTTCTCTGTGCCCCTGCTCCACAGAAGAGAGTAACTACTAAGCAGGTAATGGTGAAAAAAACCTCACAACAATGTGTATTAAGAGACAGAAGCAAGCATCAAATATTCCTGTGCATCATCTGCCCTCTCTACCCCAAAACCTGAATGGAGAATTGCCACCTTGCCTGAGGTTGATGAGGAAATCCTGAAGTTTTACAAGAGAGTTCATCCTTACTTCCAGTTTGAGAAGAGGGCTGCTACCAGACTTTTCGGCCACCAGACATTCAGCCTTCCTACTGAAAGGACCCGGGTATTCAGAAAAACATACGCAAAAGCAACCCATACTCACACGTGAGAGCCACCCATATACTATCCCTGTATACTGAGGCACCAGCGCTGCTGGCCCACCACGCGGTGCTGTCTTTTACAGAAAGTAGAAGTGATAGGGGTGAATGTAGGTGAATGATACGGGCAAAGAAATTGATGCAGCACAACTGGGAGCACCATAATAAGCTCCCTAGGGCAATAGCAACTTTAGTAATTTATTAGAAAGAAAAATCAGCCCTTCCTAGGTCAGAGCTCTTGCTCTGATGAGGTACTGTCAAAGGCAGCATCTAGGAGAGCACAACCTCTCTCATTTAGCTCAGCTGTCCTCCACTCTCTCATTTTTCTTTCCCTCACCACCGCCCGCTCTTCTAACACCATGCACTCCCTTTTCTACACCAAAACCAGCTCCAGTACCCACTCTCATCTATTTTCTATCTCTATTCACAGTCATGTTGCCCCAGTTCACCTCCTTTCGCTATAAACTTGTGGCAAGTCCTCTTTTGTTTTGCCTCCATTCCACCCAGAGAGCACACCAGGACACAAACCTAACCTGTAGATGCCCACAGGACACTGAGCTACTCTCATGTCCCCTTGCAGGACCCAGAACAGCCCACAGCAACCCACAGGTGCAAAGGCAGAAAAGCACCACCCTAGCTCCAAACTGAAGCAGATGCCATGCAGACAAGCTCTTCGGAGAGTTTCTCTTGCAAATTCTGAACATATACAATGAAACAAACACTTTTTCCTAAAGAAATAAATACGTTTCCTAAGGCTTTTCAGTGGCTTATACCACTGCTAACTTTGAGTGCATTATCGTATGGACAGCAAAAGGTCACTGACACAACAGATAACTTACATGCCACATTTCAGTTTCCAGACAGAGCTTTTTGAACTAAAGCTTCCAAGAAAATTTTCACTTCAACTAAGCAATGTTTAGTTTTTTTCTTAGCACTAAACATGGAAACAACAGAACTGTTTTCATGGAATTATTTTTGTTTTTTAAAGTCAGCCTGTGGCAAACATTACCGTGGAGGTTTCATTCAAGAGTCACAGCTTGCCAGCTGATTTTTACACTTGGAAAAAAAAGACAGATTCATGCTGCACGGCCCCAAGTATATTGTCGTCTCTCTATTTTTTATTAGCTGCACCATATTAGGATCATAGGTCCTTGTTAGAACTAGGATTCCTGTCTCCTAACTTCCGTACAAACACATGAGAAAAAGAAAGGGCTCACTTGGCAAATTTTCAGTCTAACTTAAAAAAAGATCAAAAAGGAAGAAATAATCCAAACTTTCCAACAAGTTTTTCCAATGGAAAAGTGTGCCTTTAAGCATGCACAATTTAGTCAGAATCAAAGCATTTCATCAAAACAATAGAAAGACTGTTTTTTTATAGCATTTTCCTAAGGAAAAAAAAGCTGAAGTTAAATATGCCCACATTTTTACAGTTAATAGTTAATATTTCATTAAGATAATTTTTGGACTGAATTGAAACAAATTTTAACTATTAAACCTCTCAATATTTTATTTATATTCAGATCATTTTCAAATTATGTAAACTCTGTTTTGTCGAGGGTGTTTTAATGGTTCCAATTTAAAGTCTGCAGAAAGCTTCACACAAAGGGAAATTTTTGTCTTTCAGTCATATTCAGAAAAGTCAACATTTTACCTTACACCTAGTCCCTGGTACCACAGCAGAGGAAATGTGCTTTCCCTGTGAAAATTGGAGATAACAGCTCTAAGAATAAGCAGGTGATTGCTGGCTATGTCAGCACTACCAGTTGTTGTTCTAATTTCTTCACATGACTTTAATTATCTTCCTCTTCTAGTAGCCTTTTTACTGTACCAGGAGCGGAGTTAGGCTACTGTGTCTGCAGTCTAATGCTCTGAGAGATTCCTACTTATTCCAGGCAAAAAAATTAAAATTCATTCAGAGACTGTAACTGAATGTTAAGAGGAAAGCAAACAATAAAACTGGTACGTGTGTTATCTGGTAGAAATGAACGAGGCCAATGCACAGGCAAATCACTCTGAAGCAAGCTGAGTTTCTAGCTCAGAAATCCCCAGCTTAGTTTCACTCCGAGGTTTGGTCAAGTTTAGCAGACACAGAAGACTCAAAGATTTAGATATCCCAATCACTTTTTGCCCTGGTTTACAAAGAAAATGACATCTCAACATTCTTAGTAAAAAAGGAAATAAATGTTTCATTATTTCAGGCTATTCTTCTAGACTTCTCCTGGAAAATTAGTGTTGAAGTGGCCATAGTAGCTCTGCTGTTCCTCTTACCACAGAATGCTTTATCAAACTCCAGGGCAACACCACCTGGGCAGGAATCAGGCACTGATTAAACCACAAAGTATAGAGATGCAAGTATCTTCACAGCTGGATTGTGTTCCCATGGAAATCAAAGGCCAAACTCCCATTGTCAATAATGTTGCAAAATTAGGCCTCTCCACTTCTTTCAAGGTTGGATGCTTTCATTATCGAGGTTAAAATGAACAGTTAGTAGCCTGCTCTCTCTCATCAGGGTTTGTTATGGGATTTTTTTTCACTTACCCGCTATAGAACCATTAAATTTGCAATGACCTGAACCCTGACTGAAGAAACACCGTAGAAAAAGCAATAAAAGAGGAATATTTTAATAGGCATCACAATGAGCTTTATGGCTTTTTATAGATGTACTCTGGTGAGTGATCAGCCTTTGATTTAGCCTTATATCACACCAACAGTTGTGGATAACCTAGTGGTATTCCAGTCTGTAATTAAATCAGTAAGGCCAACCGTACTCTGGGCTGCATCAAAAGAAGCGTGGCCAGCAGGTCGAGGGAGGTGATTCTGCCCTTCTACTCTGCTCTGGTGAGGCCGCACCTGGAGTACTGCGTCCAGAGAGTTGGGCTTGTTCAGCGTGGAGAAGAGAAGGCTGCGGGGAGACCTGATTGTGGCCTTTCAGTACCTAAAGGGGGCCTATAGGAAAGACGGGGAAAATCTTTTTAGTAGGGCCAGCAGTGACAAGACAAGGGGTAATGGTTTTAAACTAAACCAGGGTAGGTTTAGACTAGATATAAGGAAGAAGTTCTTTACAAGGAGGGTGGTGAAACACTGGAACAGGTTGCCCAGAGAGGTGGTGGAGGCCCCATCCCTGGAAACTTTCAAGACCAGGTTGGACGGGGCTCTGAGCAGCCTGATCTAGTTAGCGGTGTCCCTGCTCCTGCGGGGGGGTTGGGCTAGATGACCTCTAGGGGTCCCTTCCAACCCAAAACATTCTATGATTCTATGATTCTATGAAACTAAGCTTAAAATAACCACCAGTGACACTGAACCCTCACGCAGTGGCGCTCACCTCCCGGGACGCTGTACCATGCACCACCATTAGTTGTTCCATCCACAAAGCTGCTGTCATCATCATTTTTACGACACGGTGGTCTGTTTGGATCAGACATAGCAGGATTGAAAGAAGAATAGCTGCGAGCCAGGCTTTGAAAAATAGCATCATCAGGGCAGGAGCTGTACTCATGGGCACTTCCTAGGGAGGTAGAAAAAGTCCAGGAACAAGGATTATTAAAAGGGCAGTCATACCGACTGGGCTCACAACCTACATTACCAGCACTGCACAGCAGGACTGTGCCTGGAAATTCTCTGTACACAGGTAAGTGTCCTACAGCATCACAAACTTAATAACATTTCACCAATACTTCATCAACTGCCTGTACCAGCTTGCTCCATTATTAAGGTGACTATTAGTATCAGTCTTAATATTTATGCTCCACAAAAACTAAGCTTTTGTAGGCTTTAGATACTTTCTTAGGAGAACACACAGTACATAGACAAAGGTCTCTCCCTAAAGAGTTTTATAGTCTGATATTAAAAGGACTTGAAATTAAACTGTGAGAAAGTAGATTGAAGGAAGACAATCACAAGCAATACCATTGTATCATGACCGTTCCAATCATGAGCACATCCCCTAGTAGCAGAAAAAAAACCCTAATATTGCTATGTACTAAATAACATCTCCACCACAACATGATCCTTTTTATATGAGACCAATACTGAGAAAGTGGAAACAATGATAGCTGCTTCTATTAGCATAGGATGGCTTTCAGAAATTGGTTTTTTAAAGGTGCAACTAGAGAAACCTGAGATCATACAGGCAGCTTAGACACATCTCTCTCACTTCACTTAACAGGGTACAAACAGCCCCAGCTAACTTATGAGCTAAATTGCCTTGATTAAAATACCTGAGGGAATCATAGTCCCTTGGATATTACATCATATTTGTGATGTAACTCCATTGAAAGAAACTATCACCTTCAAAACTAGAAAACGTGGTCATAGAGTGACTAGCTTTAAACGTGATTAATATGCTAAAATAAGTAGTTACAATGCAATGACATAATGTTTACAAAGTGGACCATAGGTAGCAGTGAACTAAGTATAGAATGTAATTTCTATCTCCTACTATTGCATGTTAACTTCTATTACATACCACTCCGAGTCTCATCATATGGATAGTTTGCGACGAGGTCTCCTCCATGAAGATTGGCAGAAAGCACAAAGGGAATATCCATAATCCAGTGAATGACACCTTTCGTTTCAGGAGCAAGCTACAACAAAGTCGCATTACCAGCAGTTACAAAATCCTAATTCAACGTAGAAATGTACTCAATTAAATATAGTGGGCTTAATTATTATCACATATATTGTGCTAGACATTTAAATGGACAGCAATTTTATTTTGGCTTCAGAGAGAATTGAATCAGTCCTTTACATCAGATTTATAATTAAATTAAGTAGATTAATTAAATTCAAAACAGGTATAAATTAGTTCAGAATGAGACCACAAACAAAGCAATCTCAATCTTTCACTTCTTCCCATTAAGGCTAAAAACAGCCTACCAAATTTTAAACCAAGGAAAATAAATTAATTCAAAATAAATGTTGGTAGTCTATTCTCTGCAGAGAAAGTAAAATTACTTAATTGAATCATTTGAATTTGAAGAAAGAATACAGCTAAGAAGGCCACAATCCTATGGGACTGCAGTCACAACACTGTATTTTCTAGAACCTCCTCTGGTGGTAAACACAAGAAGATAAAAATCCCTCCAGATATATGCCTGTATATTTAAGGCTTGAGCTTTAACAAAAATGCATGTGTTATACGTGAGAATAGCTATCTAGCCAGCAACGTAACAAAGCACAATACACGAGTGAATTTCTGGCAATGGTAAAAATGCAGAATATCTGCAAGAATAGCTTCAAATCAAGGGAGAAAGCTACGCAATCTCTGGCCTTAAAAATAAAACGTTTTGAGTGAGGAATTGTCTAAGAATTAAGCAACATGGATCAAAGGGTTTACTACAGCATGTCATTTTGAGAAAACCTTCAAGAAGCCTCAGATAGGTAAATTTAACAGAATGAACAAAATATTTAGAAGAATGTGAATCATAAAGACCATACACACAGCTCTCAAGAGGTTGCTACATGTCTGCTTGCATAACAGGGAAAAGAGGGGCATCTAAGTGACCCGATAGTCAGCCCCTACTTACCTTAGGATTCTGGTCCACGGCTTTTTTCATGTTTTTCAGTAGGTGGTTGTTTGGGCCACCTTCCTTCTCATTAACATAGACTATTCTATCAAGATCAGGGAAATTTCGGTTTAGATCTATCCCTTGGGCGTTGCTTCGACCAACAAACCAGTCTTTAAGTTCACCGGGCTGAATGAGAAAAGGGAACAGAAAGAGGAGGAAGATGAGTAGACTCAGAAGATTGCATATCAAGCTTTATATGGATGTATTTAACCATGCAAATTTAAATCATGGTTCACTTCTCATGTTCTTGAGAATAAGAAGGGATCACATGGGAGTAAAAACTTCTGAAGCACCAAGACCTGAGTCACCCCTATTTCTTCCTAGAGCTCTGGGGGAACAAAACCAACCTTTATTTCACTTGAGGGTCTCAGAGAAGAGGATCATTCTCATAGTGGCAGATCTAGACTAAGGATGGGCAAAATTACCAGCAGCATCATATTTTCCAGTGCCTGCTGAATCTTCCAAGACCTGGCTTTTCCCCACTGCCTCATGCCCATGCTCACGAATTACAGACCTCATTTTAGTGAGCAGCTATAGATTTATCAGCCAGCCGGAAGGAACGTTTGCACTTGTTTCAAAGTTGCTCTAAATAGCTTCAAGGTAAAGAAGGACTTTAACTTTCATTAAACTAAGATTTTTATTTTTATGGTGTCTGTCAGCTTCGTTCACTGTAATGGTGACACTGAATAAAGATGCAGTGAGAATTTTTGCAAAAATCTTTTCTTCAAGCTTATTCCCTAAAATAGGTTTTGGGTCGCATTAATGAAACGCCTTCAGAGTGCACAGTTTTGCCTAGCTTGTCTCTCTAAGCTTTCAGTACTCTGTAAAGTAGGTTTGGTTTGATTACTGGTTTAAATCTTGGGGTATAGTGAATCTACTGTCACACACTGTGTACAGGATCAAGATACTTCTAAATTAGAATAACAGTGACGCTAAAGCAAATTGCATCATAAATCATATGTAATTTGTACCTGTGTCCTGTAAAAGCAAGTGTACTTTGACTAAGGAGCAAAAGTTTCAAATTATGTTATTACAGAATCTCTACAGAGAGATTTCAAACAAGTAAAATACTCCACCAATTTGAGGACAGCTTCTGTTTCATTGCCACGAGGGGGAGACATATGACTGAATATGGTTTAAGAGAGTTCTGTGGTTTGGGGTTTTTTTTAAAGACTTCAGGAAAATCAGTTTAATCAAGATCTTAATAAGTTTTGACTTATTTAATCATAAATAAGTAAACATTTAAATTGAACACTTCCCTATTAATTGAAAAAATAAATATACCTTGTAAAATAAGAAAATTCTTATTGTTGTTTAGAACATAATACACACCAGAAGCTGTACATAATAGGGTCCTGTTTGGCCTCTATTTGCTAATTATGCATTAACACATTACATGTCTCTTGACTGAGCTGTCATCCTAAAATACGTGCTAAATTTTCTTGACTAATAGCTTAATTAAAGTACCTCATACCTGAAATTTAGAATCAAAGTAACTCATATTAAACAAATGGCTCACAAAGTTTGCTTGTTTTGGGATAAAGCTCTGATGAATGTGAATAATTCATGTAAGTGCACTTACATGAGAATATTCTTAAAGGAAATACCAACCTTCCCTTTTCTACCACTTTGGAAACATTGTGTATTTCTAGAAGTTACTTGTTTGGTCAGTGAACTTGGATGAAAGAATATGCATGAAACATAAACATTACTCTTTTAAAATACAGTAAGCTCACTCACAAGAGAGACAGCTATTTGTTGAAAACCCAAGCATAAAATCCTCTTTGTTAAACAGGTCAAGCCACCTGTACTATAAAGAAATACTTCAGTTACGTTGCTCCATTCAAAAATTACCACCCAGAGTTCACGTATCTGTAAAACTGCTAGTCCAAGAGTCATAAGGTTGATACAGACATTGATAACTATTCTTCTTTACGTAGCCTTACAAACCTGGGACGCTGCCTTCTCAAAGCCATCCGGGTTCAAAGATGGCATGATATGGATACGTGTGCTGTGGATCAAGTTGATAATAGTTTCATTTCCTTTCTGGTATTCATTACACAAGTACTGAGCCAAGAAGATGAGCAACTCCCTTCCGACAGCTTCGTTCCCATGCATATTCCCAACATATTTAAATTCTGGTTCTCCTGCAAGAAAAAGGAAGAACACGTCTTAGAACAACACATAAAAATCACCCATGGAGTGGATCACACGGCACACCTGAGATGTATCACTATTACTACAGCTGGTCACAGTAGCTCCAGGAAGCTACAGGCCTCCTTCAGAAAAGTGGATTTAGGTTTTTTCTAAACTCTGGCAAAACAAATAGTAATTTATATTCAGCTGTTTGCCAAAGGCAGAGAAAGAATATCAGAGGACAATAGAGTATGCCAAAATAAATGCTAAGCATGGCCATTAACTTTACTACTGTTGAGATCTAATGCAATTGATGCCTCGATACTACAAAAGGGTGTCTTGATTAAGCAGTTTTTAAATATATAAACTGACGCTAACAGAGCTTCTTATATCTTTAATGTTCTCTTCAAGATTAGTGTAAGCTTATCACACTACACAGTCATTAAACTGCAATTCTTTTACCAAAGCAACAGCTGTTGATCCTAGTGATCTGAAAAATCTTATTCAGCAGTTGCTTTGGATAGTCAGCTCAGATTTTATGAACCAAGTGCAATAACCTAACTCATAAAATTTATCATTCCCATCTAACATTCCAATAAACAGTCCAGTATTACGCATATATTGAATGTTGATTTAATATATATGGTATAATCATATATTATATTCAATGTATAATATATATTCAATATATATTATATATATTTTCATATATATAGAACATATATAAATAAGCAGTCCAATATTCCCAGTTGCTCATTAGCTGCATTCTCATGACCCTAGACTTGAAAAATACACAAGATAGGTCTTACTGAGCTGTGAAGGATTTACTTTTTAAAAGACTACATTTTGGGCCCTAATTCCAGAGAGGTTTTAGTATAATGTAAATATCTGAATGAACTTAAAAGGATTTTCCTGGAACTAAAACAAAGAACGTGCTATTTTCTAGGTTGAAGCCCTTTTTTCTTATCCTTTTCCTTTTTAAATGCAGTTGTTCTGCTGCAACAGCTTTAATCAAACATTCTGCTGATTATATGCTCTGAATAGTCTTTGAACACATTTTGTGAAGCCTGTAACACTATCACAGGGACAAATCCGAGCCAGGAGGAGTGTTACACAAACAAGACCTAAATAATTGCTAATCAAACACACAGCCATATCTACTTACGACTCTTCAGTCTGTGCTTGTTAACCTTAATCTAGTGATCAGATGCTAGTGGACAGAGGGCTATTAATACCGTGACTTCTTTCCTTCCAGCTAGGATGTTTTTGTACATATGGATTTGCCCCTGAAATTTTTTGTCAGGTAGGTTAAAAAGTTTTCTAGTTTCAGTGAAATATCTTCATTTTATCTAATAGACACAATGCCATTACTGTGACTAAAAAACTCCATTTCCTCTTTTGGCTTTGAGCTCCTATTTACTGTTTTTTCTTATCTCTTAATACCAGGGAATGCAAGAGGCCTGATCATTAAGACCATGCAATCAACTCAATCCCATTAAATCACATGGATACTATTTAATAAAATACGCAGCACTGCACATCACGTAGTCTCAGAATACTCATGCATATGTACGCTGGCATGTTACTTATGGGAAAAGTGCTTTACAAGCCAACAGGCAAATTTGTTACTGCAGTAAATATGAACATGGTTGCATTTTGCATTTGTGGTTTTCCCTAGGACATCGCTAAGGGAGCCTGAAGGAGAAATAATTTCTCCTGATTCCCAGCCCTGTACACATTTATCACCTACCTTTCTCTCCCACTTCAATTTTATAGGCCTGGTTCAAATGAAGAAACAGAAACATATCTTTTCCATATGGCACTGCTTGCCCCCCTCCCCAAAGCATCATTAACGGTGTTTAGAAGGGTTCGTGGAAACCGGCACAGAGTCTGCAATGAACCAAGAGCACAGCCTCAGCTACAGCAGATCTTCAGTGGTAACGACCCACCTCAAATGAGCGCTAAAAGTAGGTCAGGAAGAGGTAAAGAGAGTCACTGGAAATATGGAAAGTCTTTCCTATGAAAAGTGATTGAAGAGACCAGCCCCATTTCCCTTAGGAAGAATAACAAGAAACGGTCAAATATACCGACTGTTATGGCATGGAGGAATGGGCCTGGAAAGCAGCACTTCCCAATACCACAATGCAAGAGACAGCGTTTTTCAGTGAAAGGGAACGATGACCATTTTTAGACTAATAAAGAAAAATAAGGTTACTTATAACACAAAGTGCAAAACCAGTATTCAAAGAAATCCTCTTGGCAGCGAGGTGTCCGCAGAACTCCAAGTTTTGCTAGCGAACCAAGAGTCAAAAAACTGATCTAAAAGCAAATACAAAAGAACAAAAAGGGAAAGATAAGAGAGAGCTGAATAACAGCCCTGCTTCAAAACTTAACATTGTGTTCATATTTTTGCTCCCCTGGGTATTTTCTTTTACCTTTCCCTGAAGCAAAGAAATCCATCTCCTATCGATCCTCTGGCTGCAGAGAGCAAGGCTGTGTCATCCACGTGCATGGTAACTGTGCTCTGCCAGCACCCCAGTGCTGCCTGTTTTCTTACCTCTGGGCACAGCAACCGAAGAAATACTGGGTTTCTGCTCAATATCAGAAGATAGTGAATTTCAGACTGCATCCAGCAATGTTAGGGAAAATTCATCATTACAACACTGTAAACTTTGCAGCTGCTCCAAGGGAAACAAACTCGATTTCTCCTGTTTATTTCAACGGAAACAAATTAATGCTACAAGCTGACTGCAGGGGAATTAGCAGTTTGCTCATTAGTTGTCCATGCCCATCACAGGCAAAGTCAGGGAGTCTGGAAAAAGGGACAATGTTGCTAAAGTCATTAGTTCTCATCACAGTGACCAAAAAGCCAAGGGAGCTTCCACGGGCTGCTATCTGCTGACACTACTTTGAAGTTAATGAAGCCCTTAATTTGCATTCGCATTTCAGCCTTTCATGTTAAGAGTAAAAACTGCAGCTCAGGATGTACCTTCTGGAAACCTTTTTTTGGAGGCACTTTTACCTAAATCCTTTCCTAATCTTTTCCAACCAAAGTGATTCTATGATTCTAATCATCTTTTTCTCTAGGAACTAGGGACAATGAAGTCCAAGCTGGGGGCAGGCTGCTAGCTGAGGCCATTGCTCTGTTGGCTGAGCAAAGCAAGCCCAGCTGCCCAAGTTTTAGCAAATGACTCTGCGATGCAGCCAGCACCCCAGGCCCGCTACGGCTCCCGAAGGAACCGGTTCCTTCTTCTCCACTCCACGGGCTAACACAGATACCTCAAACGCCGAGGATGCCAGCTGTCCAGTCCTTAAGCCAGCACTCCTCACTTCATGGGTTCCCTGGTCTATTTGTTGAATATCTCCTGCCACACCATCTCCAAAAGCTTCAGGCTTCTTGGGAAAACAGCCCACCCAAGGGGGAAAAGAGCCTTTGGTCACCTCTTGCTTGCATGCTACTTAGCCAGAAGAGCTGCTCTTCCCATTAATCCTTCATAAGCCATTTAATGCAGACCTTAATCACCCTTCATAGGATTCTGTAACTGTAATTGCCTCACGGAATTATTTTTTTTTTATGAAAAGACTCTATAAATCTCAATTTGATGATGAGCTTTTAAACAGTTTCTCCACATCAGTAGATACACTCCTTTTCCAACTGGAGGTAGCTTTAAGGGAGAAGCAGCTTGAAGAAATAAAACTTTTTTCTCACTTATTTGACCCCTGCAAAAAAGTAAAATTGTTTTAATGGATTCCCATGCTCCAGGATGTGACAAACACTAAGGAATATTTCCATTGCTAGAATATTTAAAATTCTTATTTAATTTTATTCATTTTCTGACAATATCTTTTCAAACCATAATCTCTCTTTCACAATAGAAAAGTATGCCTTGTGTAGCAATGTGAGCGTGACATTTATAAATACTTAAAATGTAATTTCATTCCAGATACAGAGGTCTGTGATAATGAATGGGTGGATACTAACATCTATTGGGGCAAGCCATAAGAAATGAAATGCAATAATCAAGTTTATAAATATCTCAGTATCTCTGGTGAAACCTAAGTCATCGCACCATTATGGCTTTTAGAAGGCTTTTACATTCCTCTTCGACTGACTGTGTGGTACATTACAACCTGATAAACAATTGAGGAAAAAGTATTTTAAAAATGTGCCTTTCTGGTGCCTGACAAATATTGTGAAATGTCACCATTCGCTGCTGCAGTTACTGTCAGCAAAGGTCTTCTGCAGTTTCCTAGGAACAGCATGTACATCATTAATATTAGACAGGTCATCCAATTAAAGATGACTAACCACTGCCATTTTCAGGTCAGGCTCTGGCTGTACAGTAAAGACAGTAATTTTCTAAAAAGTTTAGCACCTACTAATTATATATACTATGAGTCAAGGTAATGTCATGCCACTAGTCATGGTCTAATGTCAAGTGGTTAACCTTAAAACGCACGGTATTTCACTCATGGAGGTGCAAGACATGGAAGAAAAAAAAATAACTACTGGGAAGTTTAAGTGCTTAATGAACTGTTTTGCAAATCAGCCTCAAATACCCTTAAAAACTAGAGTCCTCCTTCTGCTTTCCTGTATTTCTTACAGAAAAGCCAGAAATGTTCCTGAAATAACAGACTTAGTGTTTTTGATTAGTTACAGTTGCTTGTCATTTTTAATATGGCAACCAGTAAACTTTTTTTGTAGATAAATGGCATGGAAAATCTCAGAACCCCTGCTGGCAAGAAATTCATTCATTAAACGTGATTGAAGACTTTCTTATGCTCCACATTTTTGTTAGCAGTTCAAAGAGAAAGAAATTCTCTGGAGATGAACTACATGGAAAACGAAGGATTATAAAATGAGTTTCTCCTCTGAATATGAAAAAAGTAAGAGAGGGAAAGAAGAAAATAAATGAGGAGGTGAGATTGGAAAGTGAAAGAATTAGAAAATCTAGATATCTAACAAAGTCTGCAACCTGCCTCAACAGCATTTCAATGGAAATGTTGATCTCCACGACTTGTGTGAAAATGGCACCGAAAGACAGAACTGCAATGCAGTATGAGTTTCTAAATAGGCCTTATATAAGTTTAGGGTGACATTTACTAAGATGTAGCATCAGTCTAATCTTGCTGAAAGAGAAACTACTGGAAGTTTCACAGGTGGCTTACAGGAAAGCAGAAATGGGCCAACACTAAAGGCTTTTTAAAAATCCAATCTTTCACTTTCTTGCCATTAACTGCTAGAAAATACACTGAGAAGCAAACAAGAGGAAAAGAAAATCAAGGCTCTTCCAGCAATCTCCTGCTTTAAAAAAATGCATGCTTTTTTAACAGCTATGATTCAAGAGTTGTCTCAAGCTCTTTCTGGAAATTTTCATACTTATTTGAACACTACTGCTTAAAATGAAATTTAACAACAAAGACTGTATAGCACATTAAACCCAGAGGGAAAGCTTGCAGAGAACAGCTATGTTTCTGCTGGCCTTGACATGTACAAATTAAGATGAGATCTCCATTCTACTCAGTATAAAGTCTGTCAGTTGGGCTTCAAAATAGGATCTTATATGTCTTTGCGCTGGAAATTAAATTCTCCAGACAGATTACCTCATGCTCAAGACAGTTATTTCTACCAAAAAGGTTCTGCTTGACTTGATGCTTTCTTCAGGTTTCCAACAGCCCACTCTCACCCCTGCAGCTACGGGACTTGGCAGAGACTCCCATGAGAAGTGGGCAAAGCATCTGCTCGGCTCCTCCAATCCCCACCTACAGCTCTTTGCTGGCACAGCCCACTGCTGATCTTTCCACAACACCCTGAGCTTGGTATTTCGGGAAAAGCCCACATGCTTTACCAGAGAGTAGAACAGGTTTTGCCTACTAGATTTGTGTTATTGCACACGAACTGATGGTGCTACCTAATAGAATTGATGATTCTTTAAATCATAATAAATCATTTGTAAAGAAAAATGAGTTTACTTATTCAATCAAAACCATTAACTTAATAAGAAACACTGAAATGCGATATGCACAAAACCCTGGTTTTGTGTAAGTGTGTTAAAAAGTGCTCTCTGAAGTTCAAAGCAGATTTTAAATTCATTAGAATTTTAGAAGTAACAAATAACCATCTGTATATACAACCAAATAACCAGATTGGTTTTACATTGCATTGCATTTTTCATACTCTAGGAAAATAGAGTAGGACTTTACATTTACAGAATTCATTGCAGCAGCAGGTATCATTATCTCAGCACTGAAGATGAGATTCCTCAGAAACCAAACATGAAATGAACTGTCCTGAACCACCATTACCAGTCCATGGCAGAGCATGAGACACGTACATTTTTTTCACCCTCCATTTTTTTCTCTCACTGTGAGGAAAAAACCCGGACCAAAACATACCCTGGGATCCTTTGTCAAGGACACTGGCAGTACAGAGATGGCCCAAGTAACTCTATGTCCACTGCAATGCTAAGAGTGGGATACAACTGATTCAATTCATCTTTTCCACCGTGCTAATTTTTTTTTTTTTTTAGGGGGGGGGGGCTTTTCCGTTGATAACTATATGTGACCAAGTGAATTTTCACTTCAAAGACACTCACTGTATCCCTCCAGTTTTGGTTGGCACATAGAGCAAGGTACTTTTTTAATCCACCATCAAAACAGACCTTCCAATGAAGAGAAAGTTCATATATAATTTAGACATGTTTTTATGATAGTTCCTCGTCCAGTTTACTTAAAAAGCTTTCTCTCTTCAGCAAACTCTAGAATTGGCTTTTTCACTTCAACTACGAAAGTACCTGCCAGCCATCAGAGTACTTCAAAAGGACTGAGCTCATCTCTCTCATTCCTTTTG